AGAGAACTTTACGCATGCACTAAAACAGCTATATATGAGAACCCACATAACATCGTGATTTGTATTGACAAGTAATTGAAAACAACCTAAATATCTATAACAGGAGGAAGGTTAATAAATATTGGCATAACTGGAGCTACTTGCAGCAACATGGACATACAACAGTTATATGTTGCTACATATACTTAACACATGTAATACAAGTATGAAGAAATATGCAGGAACATTAGACATCAAATGCATTTCCCCAAGCGTGATGGCAGGGTGGGAGGCAGGGAGACAAGGGTGCACAGAGGGTTTCAACTGGCCTTTTTTTTTAGCTGAATGGCAGGTTCATGGATGTTCATTCTTTATACCATGTTGTACACCTTAAATATTTAATCATAAATGAAAAGGGTTGTGTAGGTTTAATGTGAGTTTAGCAAATGGTTTATCCTGTTTTGGGGAATAGGGCTCAATTTTTATTAAAATAGCCAGGAATGTTATCTCCTGGATCTCTCATACAAAAAAAAATTTTTTTTTCATTTAAAAAAACTGGATTGATCCTTAGGAGAAAAACAGAAAATTGTACTGCATTCTTGCATCGTTAGCTAATATAAATACCTTTGTACAACAAACTGGTTACTATCAGGGAATCAAAGAGCTGAATCAGAATGTGACGTCTAATGGCCTGTCTGACCTAAATTCCCCTGTTCCAGACACAGCCTCCAGCGTTACAATGATCCACAGGCCCCAGGAATAGACGTTCCATCACCTGCTTCGCAGAGCAAAGGACGCTAATGGCAATGACGCTAGTGTTTCTCCGTGTGACAACCTAGCGTGACTTCTCCCCTTTCTCTGGCAAACGTTCACGAGGCATCATTATAAAAAGAAGAAAAAAACAATTCTGCTTTTACTGACTTCAGAAACAGTCGTCATTAAAACTGTCTTTTGATCTAGAATTACTTACACAGTTTCTTAAAGGTCTCCTACAGTCACTTACCTAAAACACAAGCTCCTTTGTGACTTCTAAGACCTCCCAAGTAAAGCAACATCAGTTTCATCTGTTGGACAGGGACTGCCCTCTAGTGCTTGTACTTTTTTAATAAAAATTTTAAACATTATCTGACATCATGCCACAGTAAGCCTATCAAAAATTAAATAACATTCTATTAACCCAGGATTTTTCTATTTCACACTATTCACATTTCGGGCCAGAAAGTCTTTTTTGTGGGGGCTGTCATTGCTGGGTGTTCAGCAGCATCCCTGCCCTCTACCCACTAGGGGCAGTAGCACCCCCAGCCTTCTGTGGCAAACGAGAAGTCTCCAGATATTACCAAATGGCCCCTGAGGAGCAAAATCGCCCCTGGCTGAGAACCGCTGCATTAGCCTAAAGGTTGTCCAGAACATTTACATTAGTCCTGATAATTATAAGCCAAAAACTCGTCTTCTCTAGACCAATTCCTTTGAGCGAGATAAAGGAGAATTTCATTTCTGCATGAAAACAAAAAATAGAAAATCAGGACTTTCAGCCCCCTATCCTCCCCAAAGTCCTGGCTAGTGGGAAATTCTTTACACCTTTAACTTTCTGTTCCAGTTTTACTTCTTAGATCTGTTCACTTCCTTTCAAAGTGCTTAGATAAGAAAGCTTGCCCTTCTAGCAGAATGTAGGTAATATGTTAGGGATTGAGGGACATGGGGAGGTATCAATGTTTACTATATTCTAGCACAACTTAGAGGGTCAGCATGAACAATATGGGCAACCAAGAATCTGTATTGTATAAACATTGGATAAGATGTTAAGTTTCAAATCTGAACTTCAGAAAGTTATATTAGGAGGGTTTATGCACATCTGCTCCGAATGATTATTACTCATGTAAACACATTATGCTTATAAATCCTGATTCTATCAATTTTAAAACCTACAAATCACTGAGGACTAGATGTTTAAAAATTATTTTTAATGTATTTCTTTATTGATTTCAGAGAGAATGGGAGAGATAGAAACATCAATGATGAGAGAGAGTCATTGGTCAGCTGCCTCCTGCACGCCCCCCCTACTGGGGATTGAGCCTGCAACCCGGGCATGTGACCTTAACTGGAATCGAACCAGGGGCCCTTCAGTCCGATGCTCTCTCTATCCACTGAGCCAAACCGGCTAAAGTCGTTTGGACTGGCACTGAATGTAACTTCCTCCCTTCATCACATTTCTCACTGACTTACCTGATTTCACTAAAGAAAGAAATGAGGCCTCCGCAGGGAGCATGGACCCAGGAGGGAAATTCAAGGGGGCGTGGTGTGGGCCGGGCAGGAGAAGTCAAGTGGGCAGCGCGTGCAGGGACAAAGCGGGCAGCGGGCGGTGGCAGGTGCATCCTGTGACCGCACCG